CATTACACCAAATACACAAAATAATGTTCTTTTTAGCAGCATCATATGACCCCTTTATTTCAAATACAATAATATATTTAATATATTTAATGTAGTTGAAGTACTAAAATGACTAAATAACCTTAATAAAAACTATATAAACATATTTAAAACCTATTTAAAATTATTAAAGCGCAACCAGAAAATATAAAAATAGAATTTAATTCAATATTTGAACAAAAAATATAATATAAATCAATGGTACTAGCTCACCGCACGCTCTGTAGAGTTTGTAAGCGTTTCTGGTTTCTCTCCAGGTCCTGTTTCTTCTTCTCGATTTTGGCCTCCAGGCTAGCCTCATCTGACGATACGTTACTGAGCAGATCCTTTGTCATTTGGATGCCCTCCTGAACACAGACAAGCAAACACACATTCAGATGCCATTCAAAGCCCAAAATAACATCACAATCCTCCAAAGACGTTCCTCCATCTCCTCCTGTTCCTTTGCTTAGTAAATAATTCAAGCACGCCGCTCGCTGAATGCACTAAAATCATCCTTTTCAAGAACTGACCTGAAACAGAATGTGACTGAGTTCTTGTACCCCTCTAGAGACTTTCATAACAAACATTCAAAGAACATTTCTGCAGCATTTAGGGTATTTCTCAGTACAGGCAGTTCTTTCAGAACTTCTTTCAGTTTTAGAATACTAAAGCAGCGGTTCTCAACCAGGGGGCCTCAAGATGAGTTATGAATAAGACAAAACAAGCATTAAAATCAGCGAAAACAAAAATCAAGATATTAAAACTGACATCATATTTATTATTTAATTCATTTCCTCAACAACTGTGATTTTTATTGAAGGACCAGCATTTTCATGGTCTTGGGAAACCTTGATATATGAAGGAAGGAATTTAAAAAAAGTGTAGACCTGGAAATGTCATGGAAATTAAGAAAATCCTATAAAGTCAAGGGCATTTTTATAATTAACAGAAATTGTTCTAGTTATGTAAAGCTCTAAAATATTTTATAGGGTAGAAATTGCGATTTGTGAGTAAAAAAATAAAAAAAATAAAAATCCCTGTAATCCCAAATTACCCTGAAGCAGGGTTATTATAGTTAACTACAGGTAAATCTGAATTATTTATAATGATTTTATTGAAGTATTTTAATATATCGCTACTTTCAGTTTCCATAAATAAAAGTTTAAAAATGAGCAGCTTTGTCATTACAGCAGAACCACCAGAAATATCTTGGAGGGCCGTTGAGTATTGACATTGTGGGCCCTTGGAGTCAAAGAGGTTGAAAACCTCTGTACTAAAGCGATCATATCATATAATCAGGATCTTCTGAACCCGTGCTTGCGAGGATTTGTGTTTTACCATGACATCTTTGACAGCCGCTCTCAGAGCTCTCTCCGTCTCGGTGATCTCCAGCGGTCGGGCGATTGCAGCCGTCCTGCTCTCCCTTAGGTCCTCTTCGTGCCCCAGCAGGTCAAACAGAGCTGCTCCCTTTGCTGTAATTTCAGATCCCAGCTGACGTGCCACCTTTAAATCGGCTATCTGCAACAAAACATCCAAAAATACAACTTAGATGATCAATTATGAGGATACTAACTCATCTCGAAAGGTCTGCTGGCGTTAGAATTTTTTTTATTTTTATAATAAAAATGATTTGATATTTACCTTTGAGCACAGATCAAACTTGAACTTGCTGTTTTCATCAGTGTTCTGCTCCCCATCGGTGTGCTCTTTGGTTTTCATGGCATTATAGAGGATGCTGGTGATTTTCAGCATCTCTTTCACAGCGTAACCATCTGCCTGATACAGACGCTTGAGATTCAGCTTCACATGAGCTTTAGTCGCCTAGAGAAACACATGCAGCGACAGTTTGATAGATCACGCTGACACCATAAATATGGAGATAATGCTACAAATTCTGTAAAACATTGGCTTTGTTTAAAAGTCTAAGTGAACATATATGATGAATTATTAATAATAATAATATAGTTTACCATGAACTGAGCCACAGCTTTGATGAAAAACACTCTGTCGGACTCTGTGTCAACATCACTGGGGATTTCCATCTGAGGTTCATATCTAGGGAAAGATACATGATATTTAACATTACCTAATATTTTGGGAATATTCTCGGTCTCTGTTAAAACACACCTAATATAATATATTAATATATCTTACCTCTTAACAAGCCAGATGAGGATTTCAGCTACTAAAGGGAAGTTAGGAGATCTGAAGTTCTCCATGGAGATGAGACGAGGGTAGCCGAGTGCTCGCATCATCTCTGTAAAATCTACATATCCATAACATACCGGAAGTGTTCAAATAATATTCATACACCTTTTTCATGCATGCATTAGCATAAGCTTTCTCCTCTTCTGAAATAGTATCTAATTACAAAACAACTCTTCGATTTTATGATGCACATACTAAAATTATAATGGTCCTTTTCGGTTCACTTACTTCTCAGATCTCTAAAAGACATGATTTCTGATTTTATATTCAGTAAACACAACTTTCACCTGTTAGACAAAAAGAAAAATGACACATTCCACTAAAAGCGATAGATTTGAGTTGTTAATGCACTTAATAAGGCTTCAAATCTAATTGAAAGCGAACATCTCTCAACAACTATGCATTAATATATGAATAAGTTCATGTTCAAGGACAAATATACTAATTACAAGTCACATCAGAATACAGCAGTTAAGCTAGCTTGATAGATAAAGATCATCGTCCCATCTCAAAATCCTGTCCAAATGCTGGTAATCGATCATTATAACAAACGGCTAGTGTTTTAGTCGTAAATCATGTCAAATAAAAACGATAATTAGCATAAAATAGCGGAATTCTTGCCTTGCGTGAGCGTCTGTTGCCGTGCTTGTCACTATGGCAGCCATAAGGAGCTACGGGAGCCCAATAAGAACAAACAACATTGTAACTGGGAAACGCGTTTACAGAGGGGATGTCCGTCTGAAAATTACTTTCTTGGAAATTACATTATTATTTGGTACCCAGGTATTTAATATTAATAACAATGGTTTCAACACTTATCCAATGGAATGCATGATAAAATATTTTTCCCCCAGATATTTATATAGAAAATATTCAAACAACATCTACAATATACAATAAACAGTTAATTCACAAAATAGGACATTTTATATTTTGTATTATTTCCTCAATTTTCTCAAAAAAGCTGTACGTTCTGTGACTTTGAGGGAAAATGTCCACAATTTCACATATCGCCTGTCCATTTCTGTTTATGTAGATGAAATTCCCCCCATAATGATTAAAACGCGCATATAAATAAAATAAAATCAGCTTTGTCTGCATTGTCTGTCTTTCGATGATTCGCAGTTTTGGCGGGATACATATCTATGGGTTTGTGCGTGATAACGTGCGTCTTACGTCATGCCGTTCGAACGCGTCGCGGCGGCGGTCTCTGCAGCGCGATTCAACAACAACAACATAACAAACTCACAGACCTCCAAAGCCCACACAACAGCGACCAAAACCGAAAATTAAACTCTGTACGACAATAAACTGAGGTGTTGCGATGGAGAACATCTTTCTGGACACGTAGGAGACGGAGGTCAATTAATTCCTGGTAGTTTGAGAGAGCTGCAGTCCGTTAGCTGTCAACAGGTGAATCAGATCTGTGAAGTAAACAATGTCATCCAGAGGTAAGATTACAACAGCTATGAAAACGCTTCACTAAATGAGTAATAGCATCTGAAATGGACCTGGACTGAGTGAATTTGTTCGTTGAAAGATGGAATATACAGTACAGCCCAATATGGACAATATACAATGCAGTGTAATACAATTTGAAATGTACAGTGCAATACAGTACACCTTTTATACCATACACAAGTTTTTTTTTTCAGTCTTATAGATGTCATGCACCCCCTAATATTTACATGCAGCTATGTGTTTTCAGGTAGTAAGACTCCATTTATACTGAAAAATGAATATAAATATTATAATTATTATAAATATGTGCAAATTATTATTATTATAATTTATTATTAATATTAATTATTTTTTGGTGTTATTTATTTGTTTAAATATTTTATTTTTTAAATATGTATTTAGTTTAAACTTATTATTTAGTTATTTTGACATTTTTACACTGTTTTTCTAATCTCACAGTGCTTTTACAGCACACATACAGAGTGGGGTGTATCTAAAATAAACATACAGCAGTGATTGATGTGCCTCAATCTCTCCATCAGCTCTGTGGCAGCAGCCGTACGTGAACATCTTCAAACACATGAAGATAGAAGAATGGAAGAAAGTCAGCAAAGAGGGAGACGTCACCACATACATGGTAGGAGGTTTGTTCCTTTCTCATAAAATTAAAATTAAGTGTGCTTCATTCAGGATTGAGCCGATCACCGATTGTCGATCACAGGAAGGATACGATCACCAATAACGATATTTTTGGAGCCTTCTTTTTATCATGTAGAATTATTTATAGTGATGCTCCAATCAGGATTTTTACAGACATTCATTCAGGGCCTGAATTTCATTTTTGAAAATGGGAGGAATTCCCCTCTTAGGTGACTCTTGTGAGGATATTATTATTATTAATTATCTCACCTAAATGTTTGATCATGCAGTGCATTTTTGTTTTTACAATGGGGCAATTGTTGCACAATAGCTTACACTCAGCACAAGCCTGATTTGGCCTTATGTGTGTGCGCTTTGAGTGTACATGAGTGCAGCGTCTCTAGGAGAGCGCGCGAGTGCTGATTGCTTTAAACACTGGCAAGACTTAAAAAGAAATGCAAGTTATAAACTTTAGTGACGATGTGACACTGCCTCAATTGTGCAAGTGACAATTCCTGTGTCAACTGTGCAGCCTGCAGCTCGCTTATAGTGCAGACGCGATGTGTGGTGATTTGAAGTCATTTGCACATTTTGAGAGTTTGTTTGTAAATTTCACACTGTTTGTGAAATTGCGTATCACAGAAAGTTTTCAAATTACTTTGTAAGTTATATAACAAAGAAATATGAATTGTACCTCACCTTCAGTATTATAATAAAACATTTTTTGAGACGGTGCTGTTGCATGTCATGCCAAACCTCTCACGGCAGGTGCATCGTCAGCTTGAAATTGGTTAATGAGATCGGTCTTCATTGAGACAGCCGATCAAACTTCCCAAAGCGATTAGCGGCCGATAGCGATCGGTAGCCGATCAATCGGAGCATCCGATATGGCCACAGCCATATCACCCTGCAGCCCAAGACTGGTTGCCCACTGAAGCTAAGCAGGGCTGAGCCTGGTCAGTACCTGGATGGGAGACCTCTTGGGAAAACTAGGTTGCTGTTGGAATAGGTGTTAGTGAGGCCAGCAGGGGGTGCTCACCCTGTGGTCTGCGTGGGTCCTAACGCCCCAGTATAGTGATGGGGACACTATACTGTCAAAAAGCACGATCTTTCGGATGAGACGTTACACCGAGGTCCTGACTCTCTGTGGCTGTGGTCATTAAAAATCTCATGGCACTTCTCGTAAAGTGTAGGGGTGTATCCCTGGTGTCCTGGCCAAATTGCCCCCCTGGCCCTTGTCAATCATGGTCTCCTAATAATCCCCAACCACTTGATTGGCTCTATGACTCTCTCTCCTCTCCACCCTGTAGCTGGTGTGTGGTGAGCGCACTGGTGCCGTTGTCCTGTGGCTGCCGTCGCATCATTCAATGGTGGTGGTTGAGGAGAGACCCCCCCCACACATGATTGTAAAGCGCTTTGGGTGTACAACAATACACAATAAAGCGCTATATAAATGCATCATTCTTTCTTTCTTTCTTTCATCCCTAATTAATTACAATATGATGTTGTTGCTGCAGAGGATTCTCATTTTCAGTTTTTGTATGCATGTATTTTTCATGTTGATTTGTTTATTGGTAGGATAAGACCCTGAAATGTTCTGTGTTCCGGATCCGCGGCTCCATACCGGCCAGTAACTACATCCTGTTGCCCAAAACCAGCAGCCAGCCTCTGGGTCTCACCGGCCGGTACCTTTACCTGCTGTTCAGACCCAGCCCAAACAAACACTTCATTGTGCAACTGGACATCGCTGCTGAGGTGAAAACTGTAGTTGTTTTTTTTTATGCATAGCTTTGTAATGATACAGACTTTCATGTACATCTCTGTTCTGCAAATAATGTCTTGTGATGATTTTTCTTTTGATTTATCACTCTTTGTTGCTTTGTTCATCATTCAGGAGGGTCAGGTGATCCGTGTGTCATTCTCTAACATGTTCAAAGAGTTCAAGTCCACGGCGACATGGCTGCAGTTCCCTTTTCTGTGTGGAGCTGCACACGGTTCAGTGTATGAGAATACAGCCAGTACTGCTAAACAAGGTATTTCACACTTGCCATTTTTTATGATGTTTTCTACATGCAGGAAGCGTTTTTTTGTGGTTACTGATTGATAACATGTGCATTTCAGGTTTAGTGGGCCCATCGCCGCCAAACACGAGGTGGACGTGCTTGACAATGGATCTACGTTACGTGCTCTCGATTTACCTCAACAGAACCCACAGTCACCTTAAGAGCGTCAAACTCTGTGCCGATATGTCCGTTAAAAACATCATCACCAGTGATCTGCTGTTTGACCCCGGTACAGTTTGATCTTGATCGTGCATGTGTGGTTGTATCTGTTATGGTTGCTTCTGTCTAATTGTATATCGTCTTTGGACTCTGGAATGGTCCTGTATAAATTAAATGATTATTATTATTATTACACAAAGATCTTATTTTTTTGTAGGTCTGTCATTCTCTGAATTCAGGCAGTCTGGTGTGATGTTGCCAGATGGCACTGCACCGATGCCCAGAGAAATGTGGTTCCCTGTACCGAAAGGCCAGAGCTGGCACAACTTATATGATTACATTAGGTGAGTGCAGCCTGTTGTGGAGTTTATTCTGTTAAATAAACATCTTGCTTAAAGGAATAGTTTTCATTTTTGGGTGAACTGTTTCTTTAATAACACTGTTGGAGTTAATAGGTTGTCTATATTTGTTTAACCTGCTCATTTTCACTTCATATTCAAAAATGAATGTTTACATACACATCTAATTCTATTTAGGGATTTTATATATATAAGCACTTTTTAAAAACACTTTTCAATAAAAAAAATTGTGTGTGAACTTCAGTTGACTTCATTCCATTGCAACTAATGTTGACATTTACAAGCCCTAATGGCTTTTCTCTCTTTCTCTTCTTTCTCTCTGTGAAGCGCACTAAGCAACGTTCAGCAATCCAGACAAAGCGTCTGCCTGAGCTGAATTATACACACTCTGGAGGCTCAGAGAGCCCAGGGTCACCAGGTCAGAGGTCGCAGGCGGGCGAACAGGTCACAGTAGTGCGTGCGGATGATGCTGGAGTACATGTATATGCTCATTGTGAGGATGACGTCTATAATCACACTACAGACAGTGAAGAGGAAATCACAGTAAGTAAAGTAGATACAAGACTGGCTTCCTCAGTTGAAATCTTAACAGTGACAAGCTAAGGACACAAAACTGCTGTATTTCTCTGTATAAGGAAGCTAGTTTTGGGTGATTTCCACTGGATTGTATTTAGAGTCAACAAAAAATTAAAACTGACTCTTCACTTTCATAGGAACATTCTATTCATCAATGCACTTGATTACAAATGAAACCAATTGTGACATTTGCTCTTTTAAAAGCATGAAGAATTTGAAAGAATCAATCTAAATGTTTCTTCCTAGGTCATTAATGCAGCATCTCCTCGACCTGTCTCTCTGTCTTCTGACCAACCAGTGAAGAAACCTCAGGTTAACCACACATAAACACAGACTAACATAGAGCATAAATGCATGTTAAATTAAGGTTTACATGATAAAGCTGTGTGTATTTCTACACCTAGGCTCTGTGTGTGTGCTGTGGTCATTTGAAGGGTCTATGTATATATTTTAGAAGTTGTATCCTGACCCCATTCTGAAGTTGAACAGAATTATAGGCTTCGGAGGAGCTACAATGAGATGTGTGAGTGATACACACATACACACAAACACACACACACACACACACACACA